ACAGATCGAAGGGGGTCATTCAGGCGCTGGGGTCTCCACCTGCCTTGGTCGCTGCCTTGGTAGCCTTCTCTCCTTGGTCGCCCTGGTTGCCTTGCTCACTCGAGCTAGCTTCCTCGCACTCCTCCTCGGAGTTGCCAGAGTCTACTTCTTCCTCGTAGGGTGTGGGATCAAACTTCTAAACATCGTCACAAGGAGGGGGAATACCGAATTCAGAAAGGGAAGTCCCCTTGGGAAGTAGAACCAGCTTGCGAAGAAAGACCTTTTGAGCCTAGAAGAGCCCAAATCGGTAGGAAACTTCCGACTGTTCGACCAGCCAGTCTTCCCCAGGACGGGTCACGACCCACACGACGACCATCTTGTCCATCTGCTCCATGGTAGTCTCGCATAACTCTGGACAAGCCTTGAAGGTCTCGGCTACCTCCTCGAGACAACGGACCAAGTCTCCCTTCTCAGCCTCCTGCTCGGCCACCCAAGCAGAAATCGATGCCACTTCAGAAGACAGTGAGGTTTTCTCCTCCTCCAAATGAGTAGCCCGCGATTCTCCCTCTCGAGCTGCCCAACGCGGGATTAGAGGTTGGAGTTGTGATGCCCTTCCTCCAGCAGCTCCTTGGCGAGGTGGTTGACCTCATCTCGCAGCTCTTTCTTCTCGGCCTCAGCCGCCTCCTTTACCTCGTCCAAGGCGGACTGGTGGGCGGTCGCCCGACGAGAAAGCTCAAACACCCCAAGGGAGGCCTACACCAAAATTTGGAAAATTGAAGATACAAGATAAACATAGTGAATGGAAAAGAGAATGGTCGAGGCAAGTACCTCGCCGAACTTAAGGAGGACCATGTTGTTAGAATGCATGAGGTCAACTCTTTCTGTGTTGTTAAGTGGTTACTCACAGGTTTTGATAATTGACAAACACAATTTATTCAAGTCAAGATCAAAGTGCTACAACGACACACACGAAGACTTGAAATGCCATTTCTAGAAGTATTCAAGAAGGTGCACAGGATTTTATTGGAGTCCGAGACGCGCTCGGAGCGCCTAACGGTGGACTCGGAGGAGTAGAAGATTTCCGAAGACTTTTTATTTATTTGAGTCGTAGGAATAATTGTAAGGATGACAAAAATATCTTCTCTGCAAAATTATTTTTATGAGAGTTAAAATAAAACTTATATTTCTTTTTAGAGTCAGTTGAAAAATCTTTTTAACTGTTCAAAATAGTTTTATTGAGTCAGTTACAAAAGGTGTACCAAACATTTATCAAATATTTATTTTGATATTATAAAATATTTTTGGTAAGAAAAAATACTTTATTCAAATATTTTTCGCGTACATCGTTTGACACACAAAATATTTTTGGGACTCATTTTCTACACCAAATATTCACCCTCATAATTCAAATTGAATTTGAACTATTTTATTTGAATTGGGAGCCTCCTGATCCTGATTTCCATGTCTCAAAAAATGGACTAAACTCCATTTTGTCCTTCCAACTCGCCCACATGCTTGTATTCTTCATGTCTGGGCATTATTGTTGCAATAATCGATTATTACTTCTGCAATTAATCGATTATCTGGTCCAGAATGAACTAATTGATTAATACCTTTGGCTTTAATCGATTATCACTTTTCCGCGCAGAAGGAATTTTGCTCAGACGAATTTAATCAATTTTTTTAGCTGCATTAATCGATTATGATGATGCACTAATAGATTATGATGATGCATTAATCGATTTTTATGCTGCTTTTTTCATCACAGCTTCTTTTCTTGGACCAACGGATATATTTCTTCAACTCCTATTTAAACACACTTCCTTGGTCATTTTTCATAACAAGAAACACTCCAATACTCCACATTCTTGAGGTGTTAATCCTCCATCATTCTTTCCTCAAATTTATATTATTTTGAGAGAAAATTATATTTGTTTTTTAAGAGAGGTTTCTTGTCATCCATTAGAGCTAAACATTTTCTCGTTCCTACTCTTTTGAGAGCTATTGTTGAGAGGTTAAAGAAGAGTGTTCTTCTTGGTTTACAAGACTTATGTGACTTAAGTCGTGGGTGTAAAAGTTTTGTAGAGGGCATATCTATGAACGGTTGTGTCGAGGCTTGTGGGATTCAAGTTCTTGAGTTGTAAACGGTTTGTTAAGCACCCGTAAGCTTAACGGAAGTAGTGGTAGCTTCGAGAGAGTCTCTCGGGGAACTGGACTAGCCACGAGGTGGTGAACCAATATACATCAGTGTGTTCTTTGCCTTCTCTATTTTATTTCCGCTGCACTTACGTTTATATTATTAATCCTGCGAAAATCGGTAATCATTCTCAACAACTCTATTCACCCCCCTCTAGAGTTGCACGCCTTGTCTAACATATATTGGCTAGGTCACCACTGGAGATGGCAGTAAAACGGGTCTGGTCGGCAGAAGGGAGCGCAATCTTCATGTGCACAAGGAACTCCTCTAAGCCTGAGGAGGGACGGTGGGGGATGTTGAACCTTGTCGAGACACCTTCCGTCTCCATGTCAAAGGTCACGGAAGGCAAGAGGGGAGGTTGCTTCGAAGATTCACCTCTGGTCACTCCCGACGGATCCCCCAGGGACCTTGCGCGACCCTTGGTTGTCGCCACTGGTGGCTTGACGCGACGAAATGAGGGATGCCCAGAGCCGGTAAAAGGAGACTTGGGCCCGGTAGAGAGGAAGGTGAAGAAGGGTTTCCAATCCTTGGTGGACCCTTTCTTGTCACTGGAAAAGACGCTTGCTTGTCCGTTGGGAGCGGCAAGCGTAACAGGTCCAATCATTGTGGCCCTTGGCAAGTTTAAACGTAAACAAGAAGTGGTCTAGACTAGGAGTCACCCCTTCCTCTCGACACTTGACCAAGTAGCCTGCTATATATCGATAGGAGTTGGGGACTAGCTGGAAAGGGAGGAGATCCACTTCATACAGGAACTTCACAAGAAGAGGGTGCAAAGGAAATCACAAACCCCTCTTCAAGGAAGCGAGATGGACCGTGACGAACCCCTGGGGAGCGTCCAAGGCGGTCTCGGTCTTGTAGGGCCACCGGATCTCAATGGCAGGATCGACCATATTAGTGGCGTCAACGAAGCCCTTATCCGAATTTGGCAATGGCATAGAGCCATGATGTTCTCCTCCAGTTCAACCCTAGGACCCCGTAACACGGGCTTTGGGGGAGAGAAATGTTTCCTCAACCGCTGTCATTTCCGGCCGGACACAACCGTAAACAACGGCTTAGGCGGACTGGATGGGCCATCCTGGCCGGAATGGGCCGGTTGTTCGGCCTGAAGGGAACTAAAAGATGGGGATGGAGAATCAAAATCCAAGGTTGACATGGTGGTGAGCGAAGGACTGACTTGGAAGTGCAGAAAGCAGGCCGGGGCGCAATCAAAGTTAGACCAATGAACAATGAGGCGAGGGAGGAGTCCAGCGGCGGTTTTATCAAATTAGGGTGGAAGATGAGAAGACGGGTGATGATTGCCTTTGGGTAATCGAGCCAACCGCTACACTGATATAAAAGGACGGGTTAGATCCGTTGAAGGAATGCACACGTGGACCTCGATAACTCCCCATTCCTCGACGTGGCCCGTCTGATGGAATGAGGAGTTGGGGGGCTTGTGATTGTTGGCCATGTGTGCAGCAATTGTCCCGTGGCGGAGGCTATGTGGGCCAAGTCACAATCGAGTGTCGTGGGCGCTTGTGTGATGAATGCACTATAAGGCTAGGGTATGCGCCTCTTCTAACACCAATTGGTTTTAGAAGAGTTGGTAGCGCCTTAGGTCCAACAAGTGGTATCGGAGCCAAGGTCACGAGTTCGATTCCCAGCGGGAGCAATTGCTGAGGGGGAGATTGTTGGCCATGTGTGCAGCAATTGTCCCGTGGCAGAGGCTATGTGGGCCAAGTCACAATCGAATGTCGTGGGCGCTTGTGTGATGAATGCACTATAAGGCTAGGGTATGCGCCTCTTCTAACACCAATTGGTTTTAGAAGAGTTGGTAGCGCCTGAGGTCCTACAGTGATGGGCCGTTACCTTGCGGGTAGCCCAACCTATGTGCCTAGATGCATTCTGGGACATGTGGATATACCAATACCATCACTGGGCCCGCCCAAGGCATTGGGCCCGTGCTGACCCGAATCAAGGAGCTATTTGGAGTCCACCTGCTGCGAAAGAGACCGCGGCGAGGTCACGGGAGAATAGCCGAAGAATTAGGATCGCGTAAATCGCAGGAATCAGTTTCCATAATGAATAATTACCTTATTTATGTAAAGGGATGTGTATAAATAGAGAGGATCTGAACAAGGACCCTAAAGCTAAATATAATTTCATAATTCTCGAGTTCTTGTTTCAATATTATTGTTTTTACGGTCCGCTCATCAAGTCGGATTATTTGGTGGAATTCTTGTCCATCAATCAAAAATGGAGATAACAAGTGAAGGCTCTATCGTTAATCTTTTTTAAGAGCGCTATTATCTCATGCTTTTATATTATATGCATGTGTTGTATGTTATATACGCTAGTGCATGCACACGATGCGTGTCATAGGTGAGATGATATTTAAATCTCTCATATGGAGAAAATAAGAATGGAGAATAAAAGAGGGTGAAATAAATAAGTAAACTCTTTCTCGTAACATTATATGATCGTACCTTCTTACACCTACTTACTCATCAAAACAAAATGTCATGTTTACGTTAGGGAGGTGCGAAATCTATAAAAATAGATATCAACACACCTTGGGTCGAACTTAAATAAGTCATAGTGAAAGGATGAATGACTTTGAGACACACAGGTACGAGAAATTTACCTAAATAGGACTAAAACATAATGACTTTTCCAATATATGACCATATGTTTTTATTTCCCAATGTAGGACTTTTGGTTATTATCATGTAGTCATTATTCAAGTAAATGTCCATCATTACTGGACATTATTTTTCTCACTAAGTCATTATTAAGTCCTATTTAGGGAATAAAAAAGTTTAAGTCCTACGTTAGGAAAGACATTATGTTTTAGTCCTATTTAGTGCAAATTTTACTAGTTTAAATAGTTTAAATATATGACAAGATGTAAAATAGAATTCTAGTTAATGAAATAAGAATATAGATCAACTATAGAATTTAATTTTAAGAACCAACCAAACCAAGAGTGGAGAGGCTTTATATGAACGAGGAGGAATTGTACAAATTACACTTATATACAATACAAATATATTAATTGGACACTCTAGAAAATGAAGTTTAAATAATTGAAATATGAATAATTCACATTATTTCGTAGACTCATTAAATGTACGATTATTTCGTAGACTCATTAAATGTACGCTCATGTTCGCCTTCTTCACTTTTCTCTCTTTTTTCCTCCCATTTTGGGCCATTTACATACACACAATCGTCTTTGAATTCTATTTCAAGATCGGTCAATTTCACGTCGGCTTTCCCTGAAATTTCAAATTGATTAACGAAACGAATCCAATCATGCAGACCGCTTTCGCAGGGTTTATGTCCGCTGATCCGAAGATATTTCCCACATTCTGTTATGTAAAAGCTTACCTGCTCTTTAGAGAACCCTGCAAACATGGAATTGTTATATATTTAGTTACGACGACCGACAACCGATTAAGTAGTTTTCAGTTTCCAATTTTCAGTACTTGAAAATATTGTCAAACAATACTTATCTAGTTCTATTAAAGGTTAAATGCTCCTTCTGCCCAATATATTTGTCTAGTTTGATATTCTCGTATCAAACAAAATAAACTTTAAACTTTAGTTAAATAGAAACTGTAATGTATGTTAGTATAGAAATGATTTAATTCAATTTATCTTGTTGAGTATTTTCAAAATTTTATTTCATTATAATAATGCAGTGCAATTTAGGAGTAATTGAAGCTCAAAATTTGTCGAGGTTGATTCAAAAAAGTCAAACTAGACAAAAATAGTGAGAAAGAGGTAACATGTTTTTAGCCCCCTCTAATCTTTTTGTTTAACTCATTCTTACAAAAAAAACTATTTTGAAAATAGTCATTACACGTAATTAAGACTTCTAATTTGTTGAGATAACATATTTATTTTGTACCGAATATCTTAGTCTTGCATTTGGGAAAAAGAATAAATTAGGAGTAAAACATAAAACATGTAACAGAATAGGAGTTTCATGTTTTATTCTCAAAATAAGAGTTAAAATGCATATACAATGCTAGTCATGCCAATGTACAATGCCAAAAAATATTATGAAATGCTCATATACAATACCACATTATCACAGTGGAAACTCTTGTTTTGGGAATAAAATCTAGTTGTTATATTGGTACTGTCTCTAAGTTTTACTTCTATTTAGGCCATAGGGCGATTTCTTCTTGCAAATCTAATTACCTCAAACACAATTATCATTCCCTAAATTGTGTCATTCATCGAATTACATCCCCAATTTCCAAACTTTATTACTCTCTCTGTTCCAAAAATCACGAGAACTTTTTTTATTTGTACGTTTTCATCCGTTATTTGATAAAATATACTCCCTCCGTCCTATAATGATTTTCCCAGAGCACTATTCCAACTTCACGGGAATTTATATTTATTTGTGTTTTTTCATGGCCTATATGATAAAATAAAATATTTTTGTCACCACTTGTTTTGTTGAACTTTTGATGTAGTTTTTAAATATGTGTTTTATTTTTTATTTCTATACCAATATTTAAATAAAATAGATTGAAAAAACGTGGGATTTTTCTTCGTTTTGCGAACCGGGAAGATCATTATAGGACGGAGGGAGTAATACTTTTGTCACTATTGTTTTGATGAACTTTTGACGTAGATTTTAAACATGAAATTTTATTTTTTATTTCTTTACCAGTCTTTAATTAAAATGAATTCAAAAAACATTATATTTTATTTTGTTTTGCGCAATATGATAAACATTTTAGGACAGAGGGAATGAAATCAATAAAATTCCCAAGAAATAAGAAAATATGAGATGTAATATGAATATAGACACCTTTAGGACATGCGAATTGGCATGCGTACGAAATAATTAGAAATGCAAGACTATAATGTTGAAGATAAAACAAATGTGCCATCTCAACTAATTGAAAGTGCTAATTACGTTTAAAAATCATTTAAAAAATTGTAAGGATGATTTAAACAAAAAACTATATGGAATAAAAACCTATTTTACCGTGACTACAAGTTACTCCGTATCTTTAACCATTCCTATAAAATACTCCCTTCGTCTCTAAAAGATTGTCACAGTTTGATTTTTTGGTCAAACTGTGACATCCTTTGATCATAAATTGTGGAAAAAGTATATTTAGTTATATTTTAAAATTAGTAAATTCGATTCATTTTTAAATATAGTTCTGAAATATTAATTTTTTGTAACACTTAATTATTTTAAATTGCATTTAACTCTTGATTAAAGGCTGTCATAGTCTGACCAAAAAAGTCAAATTGTAATAATCTTTTAGGGACGGAAGAAGTATATATAATACTCCCTCCGTCCCATGAAACATGGGACTTTTGCTTTTTAGGAGGGATTTAAAGGGAGTGTATTTTGGTATTGAATTTCCAAAAATGTCCTTTGATGTGATGGGTAAAAGTATGATTTGATGGATAGATTATTAGTAAAAAGGTATGATGTGATAGTTAGGGTATGAAAAAGTAAGGGGTAAAAGTGACTTTTTAATAGAAATGAGAAATGTTTTGTGGGACGGATAAAAAAAGAAAGGAGAAAGGTTTAATGGGACGGAGGGAGTAGAAGTTATTAAGTTAAGAATGGCTCTCCAAAATTATTGCCAAACTAAATATAATGCATTTGCAGGCAAATTCAAACATGCAAATCAACAAACTTTAAAGGGAAAAAGTAATAGAAATTGGAGAGATGCTTACCCGGTATGTGAAGTTGGAGAGTGCCACCATCATCCTTCACTTCACACATTGGATCAATATCTTTGTAGGTGTTAACCAGGGAGGGTATTTTAGGGCAGACAAGGCCTAATAACATCAGCATAGCCCGAAACAAGCGGCTTTGGGGTGGCCAGAATTTTAATCGGGCCTCAGTTGGGCCATCATTTGTTTTGTGATTCAGTTTGGTCAGACTCACATGGAGGTCAGTATCGTCATCCTCCCATATCTCGCTTATTTCGTCCAAAGATAAGTCGTAATAATTGGGCGGGAGTGAGATGATTTTCCTGAACCGGACCCACCTCCCGCCTTCTCCCGGCGCGTGTCCGCTGATCACTATGTACCCACGTCCGTAAGTCATCAGTAAAATATTCTTTAGGGTCCTATTCTTTATTCCAAACCCTGCAATTTATTTTAAAAAAAATATAATTACGGTATATATACTTATTATACTCCGTTTATGTACATTTAATTTTTTCCATTTGACTTTTTGCAGACTTAATTTAGTATTTTGACTATTAATACATATATTTATAAATAGATATATTTTATAAAATTTGAATATTTCAAAACTATGTATATTACATTTATATAGAAACACTATACATTTTTTTGAGTAAATTCTATAATTAGTCATTTAAAATAGGGCATTTTTCTTATTTGGTCTTTTATTATCAAATATTAGGTCCATGGTCCCTCTTTTATGTGTTTCTTTTTATAAATAGTCTTTTTTGATCTTCTTTCATATTAGTGTTAATTTGAGGGTTAAAATTGTAGTTTCATAATAATCATATTTCTTTCTTGTAATACATAATGCAAGAGGTCGCTCCTGATGCGTTTGTAAATCAGTCGCTTTCTGCTCAACTATATTTAATAGATATGATCTTTTGTCAGAATTCTAGTCTACAGTCATAGTCATTATTATTGTGTTGTCCTTCTAATCGCATTAGAACATGCCGTTGGGCATAAGGTTAATGTCAAATTACACTTTTAGTTATTAAATTAAGACCAACATGACAGTAGGTCAAAAAAGACTATTCATGGAAAGATACACATAGAAGAAGGACCATTAATGTAATATTTGATAATAGATGACTAAATATGGAAAACTCACTGTTTTAAAGGACCAATTATAGACCTTTTTTTACATATCAAAGGTAGTATACACACTTTCACCAAAAAAAGTCAAATATGAAGATTAAGTCCAGATGGAAGGAGTACTCTTTATATTTTTTTAATTAATCGATCAATCGATGAAATGCATTATTAAAAAATTGTTTTAAATTTTGATGTTAATTAAAAATGTTATTTCGGAAAAATCTTAGAAGGGTTAGGGTGGGGGCCGAAGAGTTTGGATAGGAGGGTAAGACTCGACTCGATATCGATTTGTTTTTGAATTTTTGGAATAACTCAGTTTAATAAAGCTAAGACTTGAAATAAAATAAAAAAAATCCTTGAAATAAATTTGTGACGATGTTAATATATAGGTTAAAAGATATTCTTTTATTAGGTTAAAAAATCCCAGTTGAATCACATAAGACTAGGGTCTAGGGAGGGTGTGTGTACGCAGACCTTACCCCTACTCGAAAGTAAAGAGGCTGTTTTCAAAGATACTCCCGGCTCAACGTCAAAAGTTGCATTGATAGACTAACTGCTACTTCATTAATTAAAGAAGCGCAAACAGTTTAGAGATCCATTTTGTTTTATTCCATCATACTTCAAAGCTAAAAAATAGTGAATTTTTGGCTCCATCGGAGATGAAGGAAAGAAAAATAACAACACATAAAGAATAAAAGAAAGAGGGACTTTATAAAAATCAAATCAACTTACGTCCTTTTAAACCAAGGATGAGAGTGTCGTGTTGAGGGTCATCATTCTTCACCTCCCATTCCAAATCATTCAAATCTTCATAGTTGTAATAAGCTGTCTCAGGGCAGGCATACTCCATTATTGCCTTCATTTCATTCCTTACCTTCTTGTTTTATTGATGCTTTTTTTTTTTGCTTCTCTAAATTCTGAAGGTATTGTTTTAAACTTTTAATTTGTTGCCTTCTCTATTTATAGGGGAAGAAATTAAATTATTCCCTACTCTATTTATAGGCAGTACTCCCATATTGCCTTCATTTTGTTCCTTAGCATTTTTAAATATAAATATGAGAGAAAAGAACAGAAAAGAAAATGTCTTTCTTTGATACCCGATATACCTTGATTTATTTGCAAGTTTTCTTCAACATAGAGAGTATGTTGTTTGAATGGATTTGGCAGGAGTAGAAAATAACTACGTATCGGAGTACTAGTTTTTAATCTCTTGTAAAAAAGTCTAAAGTTCTAATATTCTACTCCGTATTACGGAGTAGTTTACATTATTTTCTTGATAGTGTAATAATTAAATACAGTAAGAAACAAAAAAAAATTGGAAAAGAAACAAAAAAAATACATGCTTTTTTGTTTGCACATAAATCTTTTTACACTTATTCTTACAAAATAAATGTAACTTTGAAGGAGCATTTTCTCATACTTTAGTGGATTTCTTTTGTGGAAAAAATTCAATTGTTTTATGATATCAATGTACTAAAATTCATAAAACGAATATGAACCTTAGAAGATATTAATAAAATAAGACTAAAATCCATCATTGGTCCTTCAACTTTATCAGTTGTGCACGATTGGTCCTTCAAATTTCAAAAGTCCATAAATAGTCCTTCAACTTTATGAGTTCTGCATCATTGGTCCTTCAAGTTTCAAAAGTCCATAAGTAGTTCTTCAGGTACACGTCAGCCCTCTATATGAAGTCCTTTTGACAGTAAATATTAAAAGTTAAACGAAATACTAGTTTCATATAATACGAGTAAATTCCACTAGCTACGACTACTCCGTATTATATGGAGCTAGTATATCATTTAGCTTTTAACATTTATTGTCAAAAGGACCTCATCTGGAAGGCTGACGTGTACTTGAAGGACTATTTATGCACTTTTAAAACTTGAAGGGTCAATCGTGCATAACTCATAAAGTTGAAGGACTATTTATGGACTTTTAACACTTGAAGGACCAATCGTGCACAATTGATAAAGTTGAAGGATCAATGGTGGAGTTTAGCCATAAAATAATACTCCCTCTCTCCATACACATGCCATTTTCGTTTGTACATAAATGAGCTTTTTGTGTCTTTACCCTGAACTTTTCAAAAAGTGTACTCCCTACGTCCCTAAATATTCATAACATTTGCTTTTTCAGCAGTCGCGGGAACTTTTGTTTATTTCGACGTTTTCATTGGTTATTTGATAAAATAAAATATTCTTGACACCTCTTATTTCAAAGAACTTTTCATGTAGTTTTTTTATATGTAAATTTTATTTTTTATTTTTATACCAATATGTAAATAAAATGAATTCAAAAAACTTGATATTTTGCCTCGGGAATACAAATGTGGCAAATAATTTGGGACGGAAGGTAGTAAGAATTTTCTCTGAAATTTAAAAATTACACCAATGCCTCATGAACTTTTAAAATTATTGCCCCAATGGTCATTCTTTCCAGATTTGGGAATACGTTAATCACACGCCCATTCAGTGCAAGTATGAAATTATCTAAGATCAAATATCACACATGAGTTTTGCAATATGTCTTTTTCATACATTATTTTCTATATTTTTAACCTATTTAAACCCTCGATGATTATTCTTGATTTATAGCATGTTCTTTAGGACTGGAAAAAAGAGTTGAATGTTGGAAGGAACTGGAAAAAACTTGAAGAAACTGGAAGAAATTGAAAGAAACTGGAAGAAACTGGAAAAACTTCAAAAAATTGGAAAACATAAAAAAACTTTAAAATTATGTATTTTAGTGTATCCTTCTAAAGAAAACCCCCTAAATAGGAGTAAAACATATGTAATATCCTTATAATAGGAACTCAAACTTAAACTCTTCTAAATAGGAGTAATTAAATACAACAAACTCCCTAAATAGGATTAAAACATATGTCCCCAAAATAGAAGCTCAAGCTAAAAGTCTCTAAATAAGACCTAAGTTATTAAAATCTAAAACTAACCCCACACACCTCATTCCCAAACAAGTTTTCGCCTCTTATCCATTTCAATCCGATCCCTTCTCAGCCACCCTCTTCAATCCATTACAATTGATATTGCCACCAGCCCGCCACCCAATCACAGTAGCATCGCCGTTGCCACCTCTCAATCGTAGCACCATTACCTCCATACCCCTCCACCCGTCTAAGATTCTTTGTCGTATCCTTCTCAAATATGCCATGACTTTAATTTGGTTTGTTTCAGGAAATGTGGTTGATTTTTGGTTTGGGTAAAAATGTTCAGATGGGGTTTGGGTTCAGGTAAAATTATAAACCCACACCCGACCCAACCCAACATTTGATTTGGGTAAAAATTTTCAGATGGGGTTCGAACTATTTTATTCTCGATTTGGGTTCAAATATTTTTGTGTTCGGTCGGGTCGGTTAAAATCTGGTTCCGATTGAATTGCCATCCTTAAACCTAACCCCATATCTTACTCACCGTATTTTCTAAATAGGGTGAAATTTAAAAGTTGGGTAAAATATGCAAGTAGGCATCAATGCCTAGAATAGTAACCTTATTTATCACTCTACTAATTTTTAAAGCATCCCCTAACAGTACAATTAAATAATTGTAATTTCGTGTCAAGGGTGTTCATGTTCAGATAGAAGGAAAGATTTTGAAAGAGATGATTTTCCTATACTCATGTTTTCTAAAGTTTTGAAATCAAGGAAGTTGTGAACAATAGGTTCCAACAAAGTGTTTTTGAAAAACAATGGAACCATAGCATGTCATGTGATATTTGAATAAAAAATAAGATGTTTTGAGACAACTTATTTTTGAACATGATCGGTATTGATGGGTATATAGAGCCAATATATAATTATTAATGTAATTATTCCAATATATTTATCCTGATTAATCAACTAAGCATCAAGGCTCAAACCCAAGGAGTGAATCCATGGGCAGATTGATGGGGGAATCCCATCGAGCTTAACGATAAGCTTGATGGGCTCGGCCGAGTGTAACATGGATTGGTTACTAAGGAAAGGTTTACCTATGTTTCCTAAGAAAATTCTAATACGATTAGGAAGCTTAGATGTTATAACCCCACCCCACCCCCCTCACAAAGTGTTATGAATAGAGTTCTTTTCCTCTAATTCTTGAGTTCAATATTATTGTCTATTATTCAATAGTATTTTCATAATCACCGAGAGATCTATGAGAATAATAGTTGGAGTTAAACTTCATCATTAGTGCTTTCATTGAGAGACGAGCAAGACAATTCAAGCTGATCTTGAGTATGGCATGAAGAAAGATGGGCATTTCTACTCCAAGATGCTCACTAGATGATCAATTAAGAACCAAAAATCAGATCCTAAATGCCGATTTTAAACTTCAAATCAGGTTCTCAAAACATTTTTTGTGCATATTTACACTTTGACATCAGAACTCAGCATATAAGATTCCAAAACCAATTTGTAAAACATGCTAAATTCTCCTCTATCAATTCCTATGCAAGATTTTTTTTAACAATTAAACTTCAAAATTCAGTAAATGAGCATCTCAAGGAACACAAAAATAAGATTAGAAATAGATAAACAGTTGCAGCTTTTGTTTTTAAGGAATGCACTTCATATCAGATTTATATTTCAAATGAGCAAAAAATTCAACAAAATTAACAAATAAACTTCATGTTATGCTTCTAGATGTTGTCCCTACTTTTACTATTCAAACGAGATGGTACCATGCCATACTAATCCCAAACCATTTCATAATACTTCAACGCTTTGAAAATATTTTTTGTTTATAATAAATAACCAACGTAATTAAAAAAAATTGGTGCAAAAATATTTTTTATGCATTCTTAGTTTCTTACTCAACATGTGTATTGCTTAGTTACTTTTTTTTAAAAAAAACTTAATCATAGTTTGCATTTTCAACAAATAAAATTATAATTTGATTTGTACTACGAGGTCATAAAGTATTATAAAAATATAAGTTTAAGTATGTAAAAATCAAAACAAATAAATATCACCTAAACTTATTAAAAATTAATAAATGAAAATGTATAATTAATTTATTAATTTAATATTTTAGTGGTAACAGTTCGGTATTTTTGGTATATATTTTTTTGGAAACCTGTCACTACACGTACCATTTTGAAAATGGTTCGGTTCGGTTTGGGATATACTTTACTAGAACCATTTGAAAGTCCGTTTTTTGGTTTGGTACAATGTCGGTCCAATTCCGAACAATGTCGAACTGGTATTTTTACCCACCCCTATAACTTATGAGCAACTAATAAGGATGAATTATGATAATGATTTGAGACTTATGAGTTCATTTGATGATTGTTATGTCTTATTATTAGTGTTATACTTGTGTGCATGACATTCTATGAAATTATGAGCTAGTGAGTTCATCTATATGCGTAGTCAACCGTTAGCTAGATATTTCTCACTTAGTTTCAATACTGAGTGTGTAGCCCTTTTTCCTCTTTGTTACACGTAGGTAACAGGAATAACGAATAAGAAAATAATCATGGCGGGCAGCAAGGATGAGGAGATGGATGAATGCTGGCTGAAGGAGTTTATTTAATTTAATATTATGTTTGAATTTAAAATGTTTTCGGGCAAAGAACCCAAAGTTGTGTTTGAATTAGGTAGTTTAAGCTTCCGCGCCATTTTTGTTAACTACGATGGATATTTAAATATTGTTTTGAATTAAATATTTTAATATTTTTTTGAAAATTATTGTGTTTGGATATGAATTTTGTGACAACCCGATCCGCTGGTCCGTGTATTCAGGCCACGCGAGTCGGGGTGTTAGTGTTAGTGTATTATAATCTTTTTCCTTTTAGAATCGTGATGTAAATAATCACATAAACTAAAAAAATTTGATTTATGTCTAAATTTTTTGTATGTTTTTATTTTATTTTTTCTATTTTCTATGAAAGAAAATTGTTTATTGTGTTTATTATTATTAATTTATTATCCCAAAACATATGAATTGATGACCTTAAAAAGGTATATTGTCAATTGATATACTTAAATAATTTATTGCAATTTTAAGTTAGAGATTTACTAAACCAATAATAATTTTTTTGGTTCATTTCCAGTTGTTTGTAATTTATTTATTTTTCATCATTATAAATAATCTTTAAAAAAAAAATTGAAACATTCGCCTTTACTCCTTATTCTAACATTGCCCCAGTCATAACAAAATGACTTGCTATATGCTATAATTTGACAATCATATACAAAATTTCATGCTCCAAAGGGTTATTTAAAATTTGACTAGCTTGTTAAAAAATGAAAACAACTTGCTATTTATAACAAGCATGCTAGAATATAGCTAAACAAAAATTAATGTGAATTTCTTTTGCAATGATATATACTGCACAAATACTCCGTATAACAATTTTTTTTTCCGATGTGAATGTGATTTTTTTACCATGAGAAGAGTTGTTTGATTTATTTTATTTTAATTAGAATCATTTTATTTTATATTTTTTAATTACATACTGTAATTTTAGGAAGGGTATTTTAGGAAGATTGGGTATAAAACGTATAATGGGAAGTTCTTTTCCGGACGGGGAAAAACGTAGAATGAGAAGTTCTTTTCCGGACGGAGGGAGTACTTTTGTTTTACATTTATATGGATAAATACAATTCAAGAACATTTATATTTTATGTATTATAATGGCTATTGGAACAAAATATATTTATTATTTACACCCTCCGTCCCAAAAAATACTCATTTACTATTAAGGTATCTCGATAACTCTTATTTGTTTGCGTGTCTTCATTGATCATAGATAAAATAAAATATTCTTATCAACTATTGTTTTGTAAAGTTTTTGACATAAATTTTAAATATAATTTTTTATTTTGTATTTTTACAAATTTGTAAATAAAATCATTTTAAAAGTCATGAGGTTTTGCATGTTGATCAAAATGAGTAAAATATTTTCGGATGAAAAGAGTTTACACCTTAACTTGGTTCCCATGACATTGGGAACCAATGTCATGGGATGACCCGGGGGCACTTCGGTGCCATTGGTAAAATTGACTGTTCCTACCTCCCCTAACCCCCCGATAAACCCTCCCACCCTGCCCCGACCCGAACACATCCCACACCCCCTTCAATTGCACCTCATAAATCGATTTAGACTTTAGAATCAAATTTTGACTCCAAATTCAAAATCGACTTGTGAGGTGAAATTGAAGGGGTGGGGGGTGTGTTCGGGTCGGGGCGGGGTTGGGGGGGTTTACCGTCAATTTTACCAACGGGGGACCGGAGCGCACCCGGATCATCCCATGGTTCCCAATGTCATGGGAACTTCCCCCAAGAGTTTAATATAACAAGTCAAGGTTGGAAAAGAGAGCAAAAAGTGACTTGTTATACCACTATTCATTTGATAAAAAAAAACAATCCTCATAATACATGGATCCGCCACAGAGGACACATAGAAACAAGGTAAAAAGAAACCTAAAGTTGCAGGTGTTGTAGACGAAGCTGCTCAGCTAGAGACAGAGTTGTAGTCCGTTCAAGACCCGAGAAGCTATTGGCGGATACGAAACATGGGATATGAACCAATCAAAAAAGTTCAAAAAAAAATCTTTAAAAACCATGAGAGATATGAAGATCAAAGAGACACGAGATGGATAAGAAGGAGATTTACAATTTCAGAGAAGAAGAAGAAGAAGAAGATAGCCCGCTCAGGACAAAATGGGAAGCGTGATTATGAAATCATTTCTATATGACACTTTCTCTCCTATTACAATTGTGAGATCGACCACTTTTAAAAATTGATTTCAAATTTATTTATTTATTTTTGATTCACCAAACACCAAATTTGAAAATTCCATATGTGAGATATGGAAACCAGATTTCCTCACTAAACATGCTCTAATTGTTTTATATTTTTCCTCACGAAATGGAAGTCATTGTATTTTTAATTTACTTTTTCTTGCCCTTCTTTTCTTCCAAATATTCTATTCTAATCAAATAATAAAATTGTTACTTCTTCTGTCCTATAATGATCTTCCCAGTTCGCAAAACGAAGAAAAATCTCAAGTTTTTTCAATCTATTTTATTTAAATATTGGTATAGAAATAAAAAATAAAACATACATACTTAAAAACTACACCAAAAGTTCAACAAAACAAGTGGTGACAAGAATATTTTATTTTATCATATAGGCCATGAAAAAACACAAATAAATATAAATTTCTGTGAAGTTGGAATAGTGCTCTGGGAAGATCATTATAGGACGGAGGGAGTATTTATTATCATTTTTTCTTTTTCTGCTGAATTCTTTAACATTATATTTCATATTTGGTTCATAAAATTTAGAAGTAAAAAAATGATACCGAAAAATAACTTTGGTATTAGCTATAAACGAAAAGAAAAGAAAATGGGGAAAAAAATAGATAAGAAAAATGTAAAATAAAATTGAAAATATGATTTTTCCATTTATTTTTATAAGAAAGAGGGGAAAAAACAATAAACTTCGTATTTCTGGTGTCTTTGATTTTCTTTTTTCTTTTCTCAACACTTTTCTTTCTTTCCTAATTCTCCGGACCACACTTAAAAGGCGATTTGGCGCTATGTTAAAACAGGCTAAAATTTAAGTTGATAATCTTATATGCGAATCAAACCTACAGCAAAAGAATGATATATAGATGCATCATTACCTCTGGTTTGGCAAACATGCATCGTTATTTTTATGGATTCGAAACTTACATCATTGTCTTTTATGATTCTGATATTGATACATAATGTTTCTATGGACAAAATAAAATATTCTTCAAATATTAAGTGAGCAGCTCTGCTGCCCCCTATGGTTTTGAAAATAGACGCTAAGGACCCCTCTCCTTTTTCGTTATTGTTTTTCTTTTTTCTTTTCTTTTTTTTCATAAAGAGAAGAAAAATATTTGTGTGTGAAAAAATGAGATTTTTTTCAAACCTACATTTTAAAAAAAGTTTAAAAACTAAAAAAATATGTGTGTTTGAAATAAAAAAGAGTAAATTCCATAAAAGGTCCCCAGTTATAGGTCGTTTTACATATTTAGTCCCTACATATCAAATATTACTAATTTAGTCCCCAATTATTATATTCATTTCCACTAATGGTCCTTTATTAAGTTTTCCGTTAAGAACGTGGATAAAATTGTAAATCCACACTCCTTTCTCTCCTCAATTAAGCTTCTTCCATCCCCTCGCACTCCTTTCCCAAACCCGTCGCTGAGTTTGAAGCTTTGAACCCAAAACCAAAATTATCACTCTCTCTCAATTGTTTGTCGAACTGGTGGAACCCAAATTCGAAACCAGTAAACTTCATGGATGAGTTTTAATGTTTATTTTCTTTGTAATTCTTTGAGACTAACCGATAAAACTCATCCATAAAGCTTATTGGTTTTGATTTTAGTTTCCACCAGGAAGACTACTAATTGAGACATGAGTGATCATTTCAGTTTTAGGTTTAGAGCTTCAAACTCAACGACGAGTTTCAAAAAGAGTACGAGAGGAGGGAGGAAGCTTAATTGAGGAGAGAGAAAAAAGTATGAATATACAATTTTATCCATGTTCTTAACAAAAACGTTAACAAAGGACCATTCGTGAAAAATGATACGGAGTATAATAATTGGGGACTAAATTAGTAATATTTGATATATAAGGATTAAATATGTAAAACAACCTATAATTGGGGACCTTTTATGGAATTTACTCAATAAAAAATGAATTTAAAAAATTAACATACACTTCATTCGACAAATCAAATATTTTCATTTTTTGTCTAAAGGAGTTTTTATCAATTCAGTCCTACATCAACACGCTTACTCTGGTATTATAATGCCGCTCCAGATGAGGTTGAATGGCCTACTCTAGAGTACGAGATAGTGAGACCAACGCCCACGACAGAGGACACGAACCGGCCGACCTACGAGAACCTGCTATCCGAATAACATGGACTATCGACCACGAAAACGTCACAACGAGGAATAGCTATGTCATGGATTTCAGTTATGTCTCAGTTTATGTATTATTAAATTAACAAAATAAATTAGTCATGAATTGTGTTTTGTAATCTTATTTTTATGAATTAATTATATGTACTCTATCAATAAATTTCTTGTATTTTTCTTCTTTTATTTAATTTCGTTGTATAAAGTTCATTTAAGGTCAATAAATAGTAGTTTTATTTTTAAATTGTTTTATAAAAAATTAAAAATTTTATAAAAAAAATTTTATAAAAAAATTTGGAAAGGATTAAAGTAAAAAAAATTGGAACAAAAAAGGGAAGGTAAAACCATTTAATGATTAAGAAAATTATAAAAAAAGAAGGAAACGGAGTAGCTTAATCTGTTTGGTAATTAAAGGAGAGAAACGGATTCGGCTACTCTGTTTGAATAAATAATAAGACCATAAACGGAGTAGCCTACTCCGGTTGGTTTTATTTGGGAAAAAACAAATTGAAATAGCATATAAAGGAATGCTCTGCATCCTTTTTACACCGGCAGGGAATTCACCCCATTTACCAACCAACATGGGGTCTTGGTGCAATAAAATCTGCATAATACTATGAACTCTTTTCATCTTTTGCTTATTGATAAATCCTATAAAGTTCATCTCTATACAGTTTAAAATGACTATACCAGTTCATATCCCTTTGTCTCCCAAACCAATCTTTACAGAAATCAGATGAATTTACCTCATTTTATTTTATCCCATGTACAGATCCCACCATCCCTTGGTTGCTGGTTTAATGTAACTATTATATATAAGGAGTAGATCATTATATGTGTAGTAAAAAAGAATGTTCTTGGTCCGCGGGCTTCACCTGAGCGTACTTCTTTTTTGATTCTTGGACAGAACATTGCAGCTTGGTGTACATCATAACGGAAGATTCAGCGAAATTATTTAACTTACTAAGGAAGAGAGCCATGCTTGTACGGAATTGATCATAATCGACAACCAAATCATCCACGGCCTCATCTCCCTTCCCTCCTTTGCTTTTCTCTTGTCGCGGCAAGAAATGAGTGGCTTCTGCTGCTAAATCCTTCACAGCGTCCGCAACGTCTTTTGCAGGCAAAACGCGGAGCATGTCCAACCAGGCACCACATATCGTGTATATAGGTGGCCCCAACTCTCTGAGCTTTGATTCTTGGGGGATTTTTTTCCTCTTGGATGATCGCTCTTTCAGGGAAACGCACTTCGTGAGCCACGTGTTTATAGCTTTCACGTAAGCCATTTGAGCAGCAACCCACTTTGTAAAGGTTGAAGATAGGGAAATCATCTCGTTCTCAAGATGGATGGTGATTTGCCGGTGAGACTCTGAATTTATGGATAGCTTTATGTTTCCGGGTAAATGTGCTATTGAAATTATGTGGAGCTGAATCGCGTGGCAATTGAGCATTCCCTCCCACATCTTCCTTAATCTGCTGAGAAAATAAAAATATCATTTAGAAGTACCAACTTTCTGTCCAAAGTGGATGGATTTTTATTTAACATTTATACACATTATCATTTAGAAGAACCAACTTTCTCTCCATCTGACCTGTCCAGGGTTTGAATCAATACCCTTTCGCTAAAAACAGCAGAAGAAAGAAAGAAAATCATGCTCCATCCCTTATGTTTTGTTCCCTTTTATTATCTGTAACATATAGCCCATTAGATGTTACGCGAATGAAATAGGCATACCCTTCAATCAACTCCTCGAACTGAGGTTGTAGTTCATCATCTCTTAATTCTTCAATTTTTCTCGAGATGGAGTTTATTCTATGAATTGCAACACCGATTCTTGAATGCAGATCCTTCACAGCTGCTCTTTTTTTATCAATTTTCTGTTGACTTTTCCCCAAAGATTCTATCTGTCTGAGCAGCTTTCGTTTTGCATCATATTCACATCTAAGAATCTCACAAGCCTGGAGAAAATAAATCCACATCAAAATGGAACCAGCCAGTTGTGGTTCATCCATATATATATAGTTTCGAAATTTACTCAGTTGTAAGGCCTGCCACCTTCTCCATTTCAGTAAAGCTCCAACTTTCGTAAATCATGAAGCAATATTATACTTCAAAATTTATTTATTGATTTAACTAAATATATCATATGCAACTTGTTTGTGACCTTTTTGGACAAAAAAGTTTGAAATGTAATACCTTGACTTCATCATATAGTTTTTTCTCCCAAGCATGCAGTCGGTCTAAGGTTGAGGCAAGACTTCCTGAGTTCATACAGGAGTTAGTGAAGAGATTGTTTGTGTATTCATCAGTTTGATCAGTTGAGTTCACGCCTAGGAGGTTTCTGGATGAAGAAGAAATTGATGTTGTTCGATGCCATCTCATGTACTTGGGGGAAATTTGAGCTGCCTCTTCTTGCTCTGAACAAAGAAGAAAAACATTTTATACCAAGCAAAATTGTGCAAGGAGTTAGTTGAAAGTTGAAACACGGAGATCAAATAAATTGCATTTGAAATAATATTAATATTTGACCTTTTCTACTTTGAAATGTATAGTGAGGCATTATTTTCACCGTTTAAACCAGCCCGGTCCGGTCTTTGGTGCAAGGTACACCATTGATTTGGCTGATAAGTAAATAATTGGTGCTACTAGACAAGAACTAACCGTATAATCCACAGATTATGTCTTTATTTGATAAGTTAATTAGTTAACACTATGTTCGGTTCGTGGAATTTAAAATGAAAAGAAAAGAAAGTAATTTTCTCTCTTTTTCCTCGCCGAAATGGAAGGAAATCTGTTTTCCTTAGCTTTAGTTCATTTCTTCTCACATTCACTTTCCCTTTTACTTTTTTTTCCTCTCTAACCAAACAAGAAAAAATATTTTTCCTCTTATTTTCTTTTCTTTTCCCTCTCAAATTCCCTGAACCAAACATAGTGTGCGCAGACAAGGAGTTTTCCTCACAAATGTACATGGACACATGTGAAGAATGATATTAAACTTTTTCGAGGAACCTAATGGGGATAACAGAAACTTATTTCACTACTGGTTGTAAAATGTACACCATTTTGTGCCTCCTTAGGAAGGACTTTATAGTGCAAAGCCCAACCAAATCCTCCGCATACTAGAAAGTTAAGACAGCACCTACTGGAGCTTGGCTTGGATCCGTACCGCAAGAGAAACAAGATCTTAACAGTGTCTTGGCAATCGAACCTCCTACAGAAGGCAGATATTCCAATCAAAGTAATATCAAGTTTGTAACAAACTTCAGATTCTTAGAAGATACGGAGTAGAAGCTTAAAACAATTGGCAAATTATGCATCCCCTCTAATAACTTAGATTCACAGTTCAACCGTAACACCATCAACATACATAACCCATGGTTCATACATGAAAAGTATTTTTAAAAACAAAGCGTTAATGAAAAGAGGCTTCATATCCTGATTCATTGACAGTACAAAAAATGTTCAGATCATGGAAAATGCTGAGTGAGTGAGTGTTTGTGTGTGTGTGTGTGTTTAAGAGAGAGAGAGAGAGAGAGAGAGAGAGATTACTTCCAGAACTAGGACCAATAGGGCGAAAATTAAATTTATTTGCTTCCAGCATCAATGGAACTTCCCTTCCTGATTCTGATGCTTTTATGAAGAGAAGCTCAATATCTCGCATGCTAGAAAGCAAATCCTTAGGTGCAACCTTATGCTCAACATTGGTTTCTTTCAGTGGTGTCTTTTCGTCATCTTTAACAGCAGTGGCAACTCCTGAAAACTCAGGTCTCAACGGTGACAAATCAGCAGGGGAATCGCCTTTCTCCCCAACCATAGCCTTTGCCTCCAACATCACAGACTCATCAGCAGAGGCATCCTCCTTACTCCTGTTAACATTAACAAACCTCTGAACCAGCGTCTCTGTAGATGGATCATCAAATCCATCATTAGATTCATGTGATGATTCTCTTTCCGGGGATGAACCGTTGCTGTACTGTCCATCTTCTGATAGAGAACCTCTATCGTCCTCTGCCTTACTCTGCCCACCAAGAGTTCCACGAGATGTGTGGACGAGACCAAAAAAATCCCAAGGAGGGGTTTCATTAGCGGCTGAAGGGGTTTCATAGGAGGTGGGAGGGGTATCCAAAAGTAAGGAGTTGTGAGGAGTGAATGATGTAACCGAGACAGTGACCGAAACATCGGGTTTCTCCTCAACTTCCTTTGAAAAGGTGCCTCTAAATTTCATGTGATTTGCATTGTACCTTGAAGAGGTTGGAGGCGAAGGGGACGGAAAGACATCAACGTGCTGTGATTTAGGCACTGAAGAGAATGAGAATTGCGAAAGAGATCTTTCAGATTGGGTATAGATTGAAGAATCTATTGGAGCTTCGGACTCAACGAAATTCCTCAAAGCCCTTCCAGCCATTTTCAATGCCTCTATATAAGCAACATGAGTTGCTGCCAAAGAACACCTCCCATCAAGTGCTTGTCTAACAATCTTTTTCCTATCCCGGCAAATCTGTAAGGCTTTATCTTCTTCAATCCTAGAATTAGCAGTCCCCATTGAACGATCCACCACAGCTCAACTATTCACAGCTCAATCAATTATTTATGTAACAAATAAAAAAATCTTCAAGATTCCCAGGTATCTGCCCCAAAATTAATAACCAAACAAGAAGTTCAATTAATCCCTGAGAAATATGGTTATGATCACACAAGCGTTGATGACCGAATACTTAATTGAACCCACAACCGAATAGATCAAACATGAATTAATCAAAAACCCAAAATCGAGGACAAAAGGTTCTAACTTTGAAAAGATTCCAGTAGAAAGCAAAAACAAAATTAGTCCAAATTGAATATCAACCTAATATTTGAATGATTACACACCAAAGAATTAAAAAAAGAAATGGAATGATTGAAGAACTGATCACACGATAATTAATTTAAAGATAACAAAATTGGCAAATTTGAGCACCATAGGAACAAAAAAACAATATGAGATCTGGTGGAAGTACCTGAAGGATGGAACTGGTTTCAACAAAAGTAGAACTGGTTAAGATCTTGGATCTTAGTGGAGAGCCCAGTACAAAAAGAGTGGATTCACGGTGAAGGGCGTGGAGGGGAGAAAGGGACATAGGGATATATGGGTCTGCATCTATACAATTTACAAGTATGAGGATCTTCAGAGAGAGGAAGGGGAAGGAGTAGCCATGGGAGTCCATGCAGAAGATATGGGAAAACAGCTGCAGAGGAAGACAACTGAGTTACGGAGGTGATGGCTGATGCGTTGACGCGTGGACCCCACTTTTTTTATTGCAGTAACTTTACAGGACCGGCCTTCTTTAGAGCTTAAACTCTTAATTTCCAGTTTTTTCCAGTTTCTTCTAATTCTTTCTAGTTTTTTCCAGTGTTTCCCAGTTTCTTCCTGTTTATTCCAGTTTCTTCCAGTTTTTTCCAGTTTTTTCCAGTTTCTTCTAATTTCTTTCAACTATATTTATTTTCTTCAAATTATTTCTACTTTCTGACAAATCACTCTAAAAAATTATTATTATTATTATTATTACAACTTTTTTTAATTACAACTTTTATGTTCATAACTATAGTTTATAAATTATTTCATTTTTTCATCTCACTACTTTTATGATTCACATTAATTCTTCCAGTTTCTTCAACTTTATAATATGAATAATACCGTTTTTTGTATATTAATCTACATGAAAAATTAGAAAAATTATTTAAAAATTATGGATAAATATTTATATAGAATATATTTTAATCTAAATTTATATAAGGTAAATTACATTTAAGGGTCTGGAAGAATAATATTATGAAAACCAAGAGAAAACTACATTTTGAAAAAGAAAAAATGACCCAAGAAGTGTAATATTTAAGCTAATTTTATATTCTAATTATTTTTTGAAACTAGCTTTTTATATATGAAAAATAATACTCGTAATATTTTGTATCTTAAAGACAATCATTAAGATAACGTGATAATACCACCACCACCACCACCAACAACAACAACAACAACAAGAATAATAATAATAATAATAATAATAATAATAATAATAATAATAATAATAATAATAATAATAATTTATAATAACAAGAATCAGAATGAGAATAATATAAAATCACATATAAATTTTTTTTAAAAGTTTTTTAGGATTTTTCAATTTTTTCCAGTTTTTTCAGTTTCTTTTAATTTTTTTCAGTTTTTCCAATTTCTTCCAGTTTTTTCCAGCTCCTTCCAATTTCTTCCAGTTTCTTCCAGTTCTTTCCCGTTTCTTCCAGTTCCTTCCAGTTTCTTCCAATTTCATCCAACATCCAGCTCTTTTTTCCAGTGCTAAAGAACAGGCCCTACGTAGTTCGTGTGAAAACTCCCAAAACCTGCGATCCATATTAGAATGTGCAGTGTTCCGAAAACGTGACTAAACTTAAACAAGAGAATAAGGGTATATTCAGTTGGAATTCTATTGGATTTTTTGGAATTTAAAAAGTTTGTGGATTTAAAAAATCTCTAGGAGTTTAGACGACTTTCTAATTGATTTAAATAGATTTTAAAAGAATTGTACTCCCTCCGTCCCTAAATAAAGTTCCATTTTTGACTTTTTGAGGATTTAAGGGAGGGATATTTTTGTGTTGACTTTCCAAAAATATCCTTGATGTGATGTGTAAAAGTAAGATGTGATAGGTAGATTATTAGTAAAAAGGTATGATGTGATAGGTAGGGTATGAAAAAGTAAGGGGTAAAAGAGGTTTTTAAGGGAAAAGAGAAGTTTGTTTAGGGACAAAGAAAAAACAAAAGTGGAAGTTTATTTAGGGACGGAGGGAGTATGTGTTTTAAACGAATTCTATTTGTTCAAAAAAGTCTAGGCAGAATCAACACGGTAACAACACAATAACACATACATTGAGAATGAGTTTGAAGCATTTGGAGGATGAAAGAAGCCTTCTTGAAAGTTTTTGAAGTTTCCTTTTCTATAATTTCATTCATGGATGTCATTGTGATATAAAATAAAAGGGCTCCGACTTTCATAGGATAAACAGATGAACTATTGTTGCAATTTTTTTTAGAATACTTTCACATCCCCAAAAACTAAGACACAAAAACAAAGGATCCTGAGACAATGTTATTAGAGATGAAACGATCATGATAAAGAAGAAATTTGAGGGATAAATGCAAAATTAGTACTCCCTCCGATCCTAAAAACATGGGAGTTATTGATTTTTTAAGAAATTTAAGGGAAATGTATTTTGGTATTGAATTTTCAAAAAAGTCCTTTGATGTGATGTAAAAGTAAGATTTGAGGAGTAGATTATTAGTAAAATGGTATGATGTAATAGGTAAGAGTATGAAAAAGTAAGGGGTAAAAGTGACTTTTTAATAAAAATAAGAAGTATTTTTTAGGACGGATGAAAAAAGAAATGAGAAACATTTTCAGGGACAGAGGGAGTATATCGCAGCAGAGGTGAAGGTTTTTATTGCTGGAGCACACACATGAATGCTTTGCGAATAAGTCCGTAGAAATCTCCCATAGTCGGAAGGGATTTCAAGTAAGCATATCTTGGGAGAGAATCCAGCAGAGTCCATGTTTTACTCCCTTCGTCCGAAAATGTTCTTCCCATTTGATTTTTTACGGTCTCCAATATTTCACTTTGACCATTAATATCTATATTTATACATAGATACTCCGTATATTTTATAAAAATTTGATATTTGAAAACTACGTTTCATTATGAATATATTAATATTAAATTTACATAATTATACAATGCATTTTTTTCCACAAATCGTAGTCAAAGTTTATAAACTTTGACCAAGAAAAGTCAAATGTGAAGAATATTAGGGAATATTAAAATTCATTGAATTTTGAATATCGATAAATTTTTTAAGTCTTTTTAATTTTTTTTGAATACCTCAGAATTCAAAAATTTTTAAAATCTGGATTACCCACCTCCTTCCGACCGTCCGACGTGGCAAGGCTGGTTGAAGGGACCGGACTCACAAGTCATAACAACCATGGGACCGTCCCCAGTAGGCTTACGTCGAAGCTAATGTTCTAGGGTTTTAGTTAACCAGTACCGTTTACTCCACCATCCGCATTTCGGAACGCCTCCATCAATGGCTGAAGTAATGGACGCCCAAGAGTATGTCGCGGACCTTGGTCGCGAGCCAAGCAAGGAGAACACCACCAACTCTGCGGAAGATGCCGAATCTTCTCCGCCTCCACCTCCCAGGCGTGGCCGCGACCGGGAGTCTCGCGAGCGCAGGGATGAGCGGGATTTCGATAGACGAGGTGGTCGTTCGGACAACAATGATCGCAATCGATCTCCGCCTCCATCAGCTCGGGAGCGTGATGCTAAACGCCGCCGCCCTAGCCCTAGCCCTCCTCCTCCACCTTATAGGGATCGTCGAGGTCATTCTCCTGTCCGGCGCTCATCTCCAAATCCACCATACAAGCGTTCTCGCAGGGATGGCTTTGACGGCAGACCCAGAGGTGGTCATGGTGATAGGAGGTGAGTTTCGTCTAATTGGTATATGTTGACACACATTGAGGTATTTTTCCCTTATATCCAACACCACGTTTATAGGTGCCAAAACACTGAATTTATACTTTTGCAATAAACTCAAAGAGATTAAGTAGATAGGAGAAAGCGTGTATATGAATCAGGAGTCATGGTTCTGAGAACCTCTTGCTAGACTTGATAAGACGAATATAACCTATAAATTGATGGACTTTGCACAATACAGTGAGTATGACCCTAGTGCAGTATTGTGCTTAAGACTTGATAATGCTGTTTAAAAAGCCAACCATACGGTGAAGAAACATTATTGCATTCTAATGAAAAGTTATAGACTTCGCATAATAAAGAGTATTAGGCAATCTCATCATTATATCGTCTGTGGGATTTTGTAGACATCAACCATTCAGATCTTGATATTTCAATTTATGCATTATGTATAATAGATTCATAGACTATTGAATTGATAGATGATAAGGGTTATATAAAAACATTATGCAGTAAGTATCAAAATCTGTAATGTAGTATGTAAGAAGTCAGTCTGTGTTTAAAATGTGCTTCATTTTAACCCTTACAATATAAAAAATTCCATTGCTTGCTCGAGTTTCTTTAAGATGGCTTCATAGATACCAAAAGAATAATGACATAGAAAATTATGGAGTAGTTTGTAGTTTCTATCATGGTTCTAGTTGGCATCTTGATCATTCTATAATGGTCATACTCACTGTATTTTGCAAAGTCCAATTGATTTTTTATACCCTTTCACCCATCAAATACTTCTATAACATGGAAGAGTATACTCCGATTACATATTATTGTACTTTCTGTGTCTTGAATTAAGGTTCCACTTATGGTTTATGATGTTTGTTTGAAGTTATTCTCAATTCAATTTTTTTAAAAATTTGGTGTATAATTATAAAATAAAATATATATATATTTAAAAACAACATCAAGAGTTATATAGAAGAAAATGTGACTTGACTATTAATTTTTTCAAATGATAAAGAAGGCACATATGTAAAGAAAGAACATATTGTATAACCCTAAAAATAGTAAAGAGTAAACCTTAATTTGGGACAATTAAGGCGCTAGAAGACCATTAAATCTTAGAAGATATCCATGAATGTACTGTATGGATTTATTTGGCTTAGTTATTATATTTATATAAACTTGGTAGATAATTAAAACAAATCATTTTGCAACATAAGGAGATTTTTTATCAAGTTAAATATAATGAGAGATAACTAAAATGTTTAACAATTGGCTATCAAATGTTGTATTTTATTTTTGAAGTTATGTCTTAGTAATGTTTTCATTCCATTCAAGATAGGTCTGTTAATCAAGGTGACCAATTTTTCTGAATTTGAGATCCCACTTGCACTTTTGATCAGGTTAGGGGTGAAATATCGTGATTAGAAGGATTTTATTTTGGATCATTGGTCCCAACCAAAGTTAGATATTATACTTATACTTGTCATTTGTCACGGTGTCGATTTGGCGACGTTGGTGTCTAGGCTCTAATCTATTCTCGCCATGCACTGTCGAGGGTCGACTTGCTTGATTTTGCCTGTCTGGAAAGGTGTTGACTTGGAGAGTTGGTCTTCTAAACTCCGTATTTAAATAGACCGCTAGTCGCGACCCAAAGTCGTAAATTAGAATCCCTAGAACACATTCAGCATACCTAAGGAAGTCAGAACCTAGACTCATCAACTTTGACTCCAGGTGATTCTCTCGCCGGAAGCCGACCTCTCTGACTTTATTTCTTGTGATTCACACATAGTAAGCAGCGAGCTGCTTCAAAATTAATTTTGCACGTTGTCCCCATTTCTTTTTTTCATACTCTATCGCCTACTATTTGTCTTTTTCTTTTTTCTTATTCATACCCTAATGATAGCCTCAATTGTGATTTTCCTTTAGATATTTATCTTTGTTCATATTCAGTTATGATAACCTCGGCAGTGGTTATTCTTTAGATTTTTATTTTAGTGCCAGAAGTAGAACTTTGCTGAATTAGAAATTTAAAGTTTATGACTAAATTATTTAATATGATGTATTTATATTAGTGTTACTAATGTACGACAATTCTCATAATTTATGTGTCGCCTAGGCGGGCACTAAGCGTCCTGGCAATACACTAGCGCCGGGCCTCACCTTGGCATAGTGACAACTTTGCTTACAGTATGCATATATTTTAACAAAGATTCAAAAAATAATTTACAAATCACAAAAAGTAACTAAATAAAATTGAAAACTCATAATCGTAACTCGTAGAACACAAATTCACGAGCTTTTTTATTAACTAAAAATTCATCTAAATATTAAGTTTTTATTTCATCAAACAACAACAACAACAACCCAGATGAATCCCACAACAGTAGGGTTTGGGGAGGGTGTGTGTACGCAGACCTTGCCCCTACTCGGAAGTAGGGAGGCTGTTTTCAAGAGACCCCCGGCTCCACCTGCACAAAAATATGGAAGGGAACACAATATAACACAGATAGAGCACCAAGTACAAGCAACAAGTATAAACAATAGCAAAAGATTCCAAACAAATACAACACACTACAAAATATAACACAGATAGAGCACCAAGTACAAGCAACAAGTACAAACAATAGCAAAAGATTCCAAACAAATACAACACACTACAAAACAACCTCTACAACACCTAGCTCCTATCCAGCTAGTCTAATCCTAGTTTTCCAAAGGTTCCTATCTAAGGCCATATCCTCAGTCAGGTTGAGAAGTCCTAAATCTTGCCTAATCACCTCTTTCCAATTCTTCCTAAGTCTTCCCCTACTTCTCCCGATAACTGTAATCCTCTCGCATCGCCGTACAGGGGCGTCAGCATCCCGCCGTCTCACATGGCCAAACCATCTCAACCTCGCTTCCCGCAACTTATCTTCCACCGGTGCCATGCCTACCTGACATCGGATAACTTCGTTCGAAATCTTATCCAACCTTGTCTTCCCACACATCCATCGTAACATCCGCATCTCCACCGCATGCAGACGACACACATGAGTCTTCTTAACCGCCCAACACTCTGCCCCATATAACATAGCAGGCCTCACTACGGATCGATAGAACTTACCTTTCATTCTGGGCGAAATCTTTGGATCACACAACACCCCTGAAGCTAACCGCCATTTGACTGGATTATTGTGTGGAACACACAAACTTACCTTCCAACATCTCCATCTAACTCCCCATCAGCCCGGATTACCGAGCCAAGATAACGAAACCTGTCTACCTTAGGTATTAGGTGAGAGTCAATCCTGACTTCCACCTCTGATTCTGTATCCCGGCCGCTGAAATGACATTCCATGTATTCAGTCTTGTTCCTACTTATTCTGAATCCTTTCGTCTCAAGGGCAAGGCGCCATAGTTCCAACTTATCGTTTAGCCCCTCACGTGTGTCGTCGATAAGCACAATATCTTCCGCGAAAAGCATGCACCATGGGACCCCTTCTTGAACACCTTGAGTTAGGACGTCCATCACCAAGGCGAACATAAAAGGGCTAAGGGCAGACCCCTGGTGCAACCCCATCCCTACCGAGAAAGAATTTGAATCGCCCCCGGAAGTCCTTACCCTGGTCATAGCCGCATCGTACATATCCTTGATCGCGCGAGTGTACACGATGGGAACTCCTCTCGCCTCAAGGCACCTCCATAAGACCTCCCTTGGCACCATTTCATACGCCTTCTCAAGGTCAATAAACACCATATGAAGGTCCTTCCTAGCCCTATACTCTTCCATTAACCTCCTCACGAGATGAATGGCCTCTGTTGTCGATCTGCCAGGCATGAAACCAAACTGGTTCTCAGAGATGCAAACCCCTTTCCGCACCCTATACTCTATGATAGTATGCGAAAAAATTATTCAATAAAAAATTTAGAATAGGCTAGTTCAAATGTCAATAGGAATCAAGGAAAATAAACAAATGTTGATTTATTAACAGAGGGAGTATTAAGCATATCTCACAAATCTGATTTATTTGTATACTTAGAATTGATGAGAAATGAGAAAATAATCAAATGTTTTAAGTTTTAACAAAATAGAAACAATCAGTTAGTATTCAATTGGTTTTTCTAGCCATTAGTCTCAAATGATGTGCATGTGTGGTCAATTATTGTCTTATTTCTACTAAATTATATTTCTAAAGTTTTTATTTATTACGGAGTATATTTTTATCACCTTTATGTAGAGTCTTGATGTCATATTAAAGATTACAATTATACTTTATAGAAATAATTTCTTAATCTATGCCTAAAAAGTGATATCATTCATTTAAAAAACATAAGCTATGCAACTATTGTATTTTCCATCTGTCCTGGTGCATTTTCGTCGATTGTTCCTTTTTTCGTCCATTTTCCATTTAAGGAAAAGATATAAAGCAGCATTGACTTAGTTGCCACTCACTTAATACTCCCTCTTCCACCCAAAAGGTAAAAGTACGGGTGTAATAATCACTGCATCCTCTTTTTTCTCTTATCCTTGGTCCATGTGCCAAAATGTGGACAAATGCACCGGGATTGTCCGATTGTGGAAGTGTTTTTTAAATTTGACAGCCAATTGTATAGATATACTCCTAGTATCATACTCTCCTTGTCCTTAAAAACTCCCCAGTTGCTATTCACAAACCCTACCATCTTTATTTGCCTACTTTTGTTACTCATTTCAAAAAATAGTCACATCACATATTGTTTTGTAGAATTTTTTGACGTATTTTTTAAGTATGTAAGTTTTATTATTTAATTCTACACCAATTATTTAATAAATCATTTGGAAAATAATTTTAGCCAAACATCGTAAACCGTTATCAAAGGTGTTTGAGGGAAGATGGAGTATTAAAGATCTGAAAATATGATTGGTTTGATATATCATTTATACAAAATTGATAAGAATTGAAGAAGTTATCAAACTTTGTAAAAGCAGAAACAATTGGTTATTGTAGCTAGTAAGTAATGGTGTGCAGGTATAGGTAGCTGGGGAAATTAGATTTTTGCATGTTAATTGCAAATAATCTTTTTAGATATAGATAGAATGATAGATGTATCTGCACTGAGAATGACAGAATGTAGTACTGTGCATCTTTCACTAAATGCACATAATGGGAATCCATTTTTATTACTTTTTGTGTTTTCCTTAATGTATTTATCTGAGTTACTGAGTACACATAACATGTTGATGTTGCAGGTTTGGTAACCACGAGCATCCTGTTGGTTCTGATCGTGAAATCGGAGGTAGAGATAGGTATCCTAATGAAAGGCTTCATGGTCAATATAGTGGCCGATCGTCTGGAGGATACCCAGGTGGATCTCTCAATTTTGTAACGTTTTTGTTTAAAGTGATATCTTCTTTTTGGTATTAGAATAATACTCCCTCCTCCCCCGTGTATTTGTATAGCATATTAAAAAAATAAAATAAAATTTTGAAAGTTTTCAACAAGATAAATCTAATGAAATCATTATTATACTAATATACATTACAATCGTTTGTATTTGTATATCTTCAATTCTATTCAAACACTCACACATTCTTAATCATTTATCCTCGTTCGCCTTGCCTTTCAAAATTATGATTATAGTCATGGAAATTGCAAAAGTGATAATGTAAAAGCAACATATTGAAATCAAGACTTGATTCATTCATTTGGGCCATTATTGGATGGGAGTAATTTGTAGTGAGTCAATGTCTTCATGCAAAAACATACTCCCTCCATCTCAATATGTCTATTTTGTTCTTCCTTTTTGGTCCATCCAAAATGTTTGTTTAATACTGTATATGGCCAGATTTGTGTGATTTAAAATCATCCATACTTCACATATTCAATATCAACCACGTTTCCATATTTTCTCTATTTGCGTGCCACTTCCCTTGTCCTAAACTTAGTGTGACAGAGGGGGTAGTGGGTTTTTACTCAATTTATCCCTTGTTGACAACAATGTTTTCTTACTGGGACAATTGGCTTAATCAATTCTAGGTCACTCATGGGTTGGACTCATCGAGTATTAACCGGGCTCCTATTAAACAATTCTATTAGTTCATCAACATGCACGTGCAAATTTTTCAAAAACATTATATGAAGTACAAAACTGTCTTACAAGCTCCCAATCTAGGGTCAGGGACGGGGTTAATTATTGCTTAAAATAAAATGAGTAAAAAGGTGTCATTTTAATGCTGTTTTTGCCTAAAATAGTCTTGATCATAGTCGTAAAAGGTGCGCATAGTCTTGATCATTGTTCTCTGAATCGGGGGGGGGGGGGTCTGTTAGCTCTCTACGCTAATTGCTAATCATTAGCTGAACTATTGTTGAGGGCATATAGTTTAAAAAAGATTCATTTTAGTGCATTTAATTTTCTATCTTGTATGTCTTTGAACTTTTAATAACTTCAGTGTTTTGTTCAAGACTGGGATTCAGGTCGAGCTGGACTTGGTCATGCATTTGTATCTGGTAGCACTCAAAGGTATCACTGTTGCCTTTCCATGCAAAAAGACAAACAATATCACAGTATCACACCTCTTTAACACGTATTTACATTTTTCCAACCCATTTGGAAACATTGCGTTGTACTAGAATGTTCCATAGTTGGATAAATGGATAACTATGAGAGGGTTTTAGAACACACTTGTGCAAAAGCAATAAGTAGATGCATTAAGCATGTAGCCATATAGGTACTTACAGGATTTATTTGTTAAAAATAAACAGAAAGCAAGAAGAAGGGAGATAGTTTCTTTTGGCTTATGGGGTTTAAACCCCTTTAAAAAAGCAATATACATAAATTTAAGTTTGTTAACTTAACAAACATCAAAATTGCAGGAGCAACTTAAAACAACAAGATTACTCCAAAAAACAAGCAATAAGCTGAAATACTTCTTCCGTCCCAAAAATGATTACATTGTTACTATTCTGGGTTAACTTTTGTATTCTCTTGTGTGTTTTCATTGATTATTCAATGAAATAAGATATTCTTGTCACTCTTTATTTTCTAGAACTTTTGACGTAGTTTTTTTAATATGTAAATTGTTTTTAAGTTTCTATGCCAATTTGTAAATAAAATAAATTTAAAAGATAGGAGGTTTTGCATGTGTTTGAAGAGTGAGTGTTATTTATTTTGGGACAGAGGGAGTAAGTTTTCTAAAACACTCCATGTACTGAGTATATTCAATTTGTAAATAAAATTTGTAAATTGTTTTTAAGTTTCTATGCCAATTTGTAAATAAAATAAATTTAAAAGATAGGAGGTTTTGCATGTGTTTGAAGAGTGAGTGTTATTTATTTTGGGACAGAGGGAGTAAGTTTTCTAAAACACTCCATGTACTGAGTATATTCAATTTGTAAATAAAATTTGTAAATTGTTTTTAAGTTTCTATGCCAATTTGTAAATAAAATAAATTTAAAAGATAGGAGGTTTTGCATATGTTGAAGAGTGAGTGTTATTTATTTTGGGACAGAGGGAGTAAGTTTTCTAAAACACTCCATGTACTGAGTATATTCAATTTAATTTGAGAAAAAACTCACTGTAAGGGATTAACTTTTATTATAGAAAGATTAACATTTTATATTAACATGTTAGTTTGTATTGAAATTATCTGAATGACCTAATTCCCTAGCTGTAGAAAAGAAGAGGAATAGAACTATATAGACACAAAGTGCTAGTCTATTAGTGCACCTCAATAAGTAGCCTATTAAGGACATATGACAATCTTCTTTTAAGACTCAAAATAACAGAAGTATAGAAGGTGCAAGCTTTGACGTGGAGTCGGCTGCTGATTCTGGATTCCTTAGATCGAAAGTTTTTTTGGTAGCAAACAAAATATGGAAGGGTAGGAAAGAAACCAACTCTTATACGAAGTCTAATGAGCATGGTGTGGAGCAAGTATGGTGAAAAATGAAAGTTGTGGAGATAAAGAGTTACTTGCCCTTGGCAGAGTGGGGTTCCTTCTTGGCTTTAGCAAAGAGGGAACTTTAGTGCTTTCCTGCTCGGCCTTGCCGAGGACGCACTTGAATTGACTCCAAATTTATTGATGATCATTTAAATGAATATAACACCTCTATTTATACTAGTGTCGAGAGTCTTGGTGAGCTAGTTATTAGAGTTCTAATCTATTATAATATTGCTATTTGGAATGTTACTTAAAACACCAAGGTTCTTTTGACACCCCATTTGGATGTCATATTATGACACCCAAGTTTTTTGCTACAGTGGGTCCTAACCCCCACAAACCCTGCTATAGTCCGCTACCACCACCGATTGCTGCCAATTTGCTACAGACCCTCACAAACCCCACTACCACACCCTTTACAGCCAATTTGCTTCAATGTCACTGTAGCAAAGAGATGAAAGTGGGTGGAACCATGGGAGTTTGTGGGGGGGGGTCTATCTGCTTCGGAGCCCAACGGGCCCCGGTGTCATAATATGAAGTATACTTTATTTTGAAAATTTTTTTAACTGTAAGAAATTCGCAATGTGCTCTGCCTAAACTTCATCGACTATCTCATCCTGTCATTTTTTAGGGGTTTGTTTGAAAGAAAATTCATATTTGACTTTATAGTTGCTTGGCATTTATGTGCTCCCTATATTGTTTTGCAGAGAAGGATTGAAGTCATATAAGCAGTTCATTCAGGAACTTGAAGATGATATTTTGCCAGCAGAAGCTGAACGAAGGTCATAATTGGTGTTCCTTATTGTTGTGGGTGTTTTTTGATATGTAGTTTTCATGTTTCATTTATGTGATATCTTAATGTAAGTACTAGCTTCTTAAACTATATCTATATTTTATGCCAGATATCAAGAATACAAGTCAGGATATATAGAGGCCCAGAAACAATCTTATTTTGATGCACATAAAGATGAAGATTGGTAGCTGTTACTTACCTTAATGATTCCTTTTCAATTTACTTTTTGGTTCAACTTTTCATGTTAAATACTTGTATACTCAGGTTAAAGGATAAATACCATCCTACGA